ATACGCCTCAATCAAATGGAGTAGCCGAAAGGAAGAATAAGACTTTAAAGGACATGGTTAATGCCATGTTGGTAAGTTTTCGTGCACCAAATGACTTGTGGGAGGATGCTATTTTAGCTGCCAACTACATTCTAAATAGAATGCCATACAAGAAAACTCTCAAAATTCCATAAGAGTTATGGAAAGGGCGCAAACCAAGTTTTAATTACTTGAAAGTGTGGGGATGTCTAGCTAAAGTAGTTATTCCCAAACCTAAGAGGACAAAACTTGGACCAAAGACCATTGATTGTGTCTTTGTTGGTTATGCACAAAATAGTAGTGCATATCATTTCCTTGTCCTCAAATCCCATAATATGGATATATTGGTTGATACTTTTATAGAATCTAGAGACGCTACATTCTTTGAGAATGTATTCCCTTTCAAGGGAGATTGTGAAGTTGTTTCCTCCGACATGGATATTTTCATTCAAACCCATGTTGAAGAAACAAACTCACATAAAAGATCCTTTGATTCTATAAATGATAACAATGAAGTGCCAGAAGAATGTGAAATGGGGCGCAACAAAAGGGCTAAAAAATCTATGAATTTTGGACACGATTTTGTTGTGTACCTGTTAGACAATGAGCCTCAAACTGATAAGGAAGCCATGTCTTCACCGGACGCTGCACAATGGCAAGAGGCTATCAAAAGTGAAATTGATTCCATCATGTCTAACCTCGTTTGGAAAGTGGTAGATTTGCCTCCTGGATCTAAACCTCTATGATGCAAATGGATCTTCAAAAAGAAAAGAAGAACTGATGGAACAATTGAAAAGTACAAAGCTCGATTGGTTGCCAAAGGATACAACCAAAAAGCAGAATTTGACTACTTTGATGTTTACTCACCGGTCACAAGAACAACTTCGATTCGAACGTTATTAGCAATAGCTGCATTGAAGGATTTGGAAATCCATCAAATGGATGTAAAACTGCATTCTTGAACGGTGACTTAAAGGAAGAGATTTACATGCAACAACCCGAAGGTTTTATTGTCCCCGGACAAGAAAGAAAGGTTTGTCGCTTAGTAAAATCTCTTTATGGGTTAAAGCAAGCCCCCAAACAATGGCATGATAAATTTGACAGTGTAATGCTATCAAATGGATTTAAGATCAACGAGGCTGACAAGTGCATGTACGTGAAAGGCAATCAAAATGACTATGTCATAGTCTGTCTATACGTAGATGATATGCTCATTTTTTGTAGTAACAGTAATTTAATAAAGGCTACCAAAAGTATGTTGGTCAGGAAATTTGAAATGAAGGATCTCGGTGTTGCTGATGTGATTCTAGGAATTAAAATCATCATAACACCTGAAGGGTTGATATTATCTCAATCACACTACATTGAGAAAATGCTTGAGAGATTCAAGAAGTATGATATCAAACCCATGAGAACTCCTCTTGATTCCAGTGTTCACCTCAATAAAAACAGAGGAGAAAGTGTATCACCACCTTTTCCCCGCCTTGGGGATGGACGGTCTGCAGGGGCGCCACCACCTCAGGGACGCCAGAGTCAGCGTTTGGGGCCTGGGACCCCTGCGCCATCACTGTGGCGATCAGATGCTGTTCCGCCTCCACCATGCGACGATCGGCCTGGGAGGCGGAGGAGTTAGAATTGGCCGCTTGGACAGCCTTGGCCTTAGCAAGGGCGGCGTCGGCGGCAGCACCCTTGCCCTTCCGGTTCTTCAGGAGCTTAGCGTGGTTCATTTGAGCTTGGGTGGGGGGCAGACCTGCGGATAAAAACACAAAGCATCAGAAATTAAACAAAGATTTGACAAGGTACACTCACCCCAGAGGACAGGACCGCCCGGTGCCCCGAGACGAGCGTATGGGGGAGTTGAGAGTCCAGAGACACGGGCGGTACCTATTCCTGCTGCGGCAAGTGCCTCGAAGGTGAGGAAATCATCTAAGGGTTGGACGCCGCCCGTCGATATCTTCTTAATATCTTCGCCCAGATCTTCGGTCAGATCCGGTGACCCTATCTTGGGTGGATAACCATTCCATCGCAATGGCAGACGAGCATCCTCATACCGCACAAAGAAGAACTGATTCTTCCAATCATGGATAGAACTCGGTGCACCGCTGAAAAGCCTCTGTTTCGCACGAGCGGCGACGCTCAGGAAGCCATCAGAATTTTGAGGGGTAAGCCGGAAGAAGTAATGGAACAAGTCCAAAGTGGCAGTGACCCCCCTGTCCTTACAACGGACTAGGAATGCAGAGATGAACCGGTATGAATTCGGCATGAGTTGTGCAAGGGCTATTTGATAGCAGCAGAAGAACTCCACATAGAATGGGTGGAGGGGGAAACGCAGCCCGGCCTCGATGGAGTCCAAGAGCACCATGATCATTCTCGGGCGTCTTCTCATCATATGGGATGTGCCCCGGAGGCTGTATACGAACGGAGGGGGGAAGTATATCTTAAGCTTGTTAAGGGCTACAACCGAGAAGGCTTGCTCATGCCCTAAGACGTTCTTGATTGGGCAGATATGACGCTCCACGTCTATTTTGATCCCCAAATCGAACACCTCAACGTCGGATCCATCTTCGGCCTCAGCTCCTGAATCATAGTCCGCCGGACGATCATCCCCAGGGGCCACGTTTTGATCCCCTACATCATCCACATGGTCCACCACCTCCAGGACCATGTTGTCCCCTTGATCTGCAAACAAGGCAACTTCTCTGGCGCTGAGTGCGGCGGCAGTATCAGGAACACCATCTTCCTGTATGGAGCCCACAGTCGAGGCCGAACCAGAACTACCTGAAACGCTGGCCTTGTTGGAGGAACGTGAGGAGGAACCGGAGCCAGAGCCTGAACCTGAACTGGAGGAGGAACCCGGGGAAGAGCCCGAAGAACTGGAGTTGGAATCCGAGGAGATTTCCATGGAGGCCGTTGGGTAGATCAAAAAAGGATTATAGAGAAGGGGGAAGAGAACCTAAGTTACCTTAGAGGAGGGAGGAGGACAAGCCGATGAACCTTGCGGATGAACAGAGCACCAAGCAGCAGAGATCCTAGAGTGAGAGAGCAGAAATCAGGAACCCTAATTCTAAGGGAAACCCCAGTATTTATAAGGGAGGCACCGATTCAGGGGCCAACGAAGGGGTGACACGTAGCGAGGAGCGTATCCAGGCTCACGCGTTGCGCGTGGGATGGAAGTGTAATGATGGCCTTTCCTAGGGATGTGCACCGTTTCTATAACAGCCGTCACCTCGATCCCTGAACCGCCGCCAGCGGGTAGGCACCATGACCATGAGCGTCCACCTTCACAAAACGCAACAAACGCAAGTACCATGCCACGAGCGTCCACCCTTGAGGAGCATCATACTTCTTTATGTCCTGTGCATGGTCAGAACATCATAAGTGGGGGACTTGTGTTGGAATAATGGCCCAAGTAAAAGTTCGGCCCATTTACCCTTTTATTCGGACGTACGTCCAGACAGAACTGGATAGGCTAAGCTGGCGGGCAACTTGGAAAGGACGAACGTCTTGACTAAGGCTTTGGCTTACCAGCCCATTCTGACGAACGGCTACTCAGTTGACAGTGAGTCAGGCCCTCAGGCCACTAGGATGACGACGAACGTCGTCAAACAAGCCCATAACCACTGGAGGCGATTCAATCCACCAGGCAAGCCCACAAGGGCCAAGGGACGAACGGCCCACTACCCTTTGTGGTATCACCAGGAAGCGACTCACCTCCCCCAGTTGGACGAACGTCTCCACTAATTAGGCGGGAAACCCAGATCCTGACGGGAAACGCATTTAATGCTGAAGATTTGGTGGTTGGAGCACCAGCCATTCACAAGCCTCCACGACAATGCAGCCAGCTGCCCATTGGTGGTATAAATAACAGCGTTTATTTCATTGTAAAGGGTGAACAACTTTCTATTCTTAGCACTCTAGCTTTTAGCCTTCTTACTCGCAGCTCTTCTACTGCCTTGTAAGACGAACGGCCGACGAGCCTAGCGAAAAGTATTGTATTAGGGAGTTATTAACAAATTAATAATACCTAATCATTCACTTGCTTCCTCTTGTTTCTTAATCCATCTCACTTGTTAGTTGGGCTAGTTATTCATACACACTCCACTCGAAACTCTTGGCCTTACGTGTTGGACCCGAGGGTTGAAGGAATAAACCCCAACAATAAATATACGTAGTAGTTTCTCATTATTATTTTTGTATAATTTTTTTTTGTGTATTTGGCGAAAATCCTATAATGAGCATATACGCAATTTTTTAAATGTCGTAATACTATTGTACTCCCTCCGTCCCAATATAAAAGGCACATTTGCGTTTCTAGACATTTTAAGGGTGAACACTGTTTGAACACTGTTTGGCACTGTTTAGACACTGTTTGGCACTGTTTGGACACTGTTTGGCACTGTTTTGCACTGTTTTGCACTGTTTTGTTTGCCAAAAGGGGAAATGTGCCTTTTATATTGGGACGGACCGAAAAGGAAAGTGTGCCTTTTATATTGGGACGGAGGGAGTATTATTTATAAAGTATTTAAAAAATTATATAATTTTTTAAATTTAAAATTTTTCTAGGCCGGGCGACCCGGTGGACTACCCGGCCTGCTCTTACGGGCGGGTATGGACATGGGGTTAGGCCCGTTTTTGCGGGCCGGGCACGCCCACACATGATAGGCAGGAAATTTATAAAAAGTCTGGGCCGAGCCCGTTTTTGTGCAGGTCTAATTTTAGCCTGCCACTAAATAAAATTAGGAGTTCAAAATTTCATCTTTAATATTTTGGACTCCTAATACTACACTACTCTAAATGGTCTTAGATCTTGGCACCAAATTAAGGGAGAAGTAGTGGAGTAATGAATATGAGGTAGAAAAGTAGGAAATAAGATGAGAGGTGAAAGCATATGAAAGGAAAAAAATAAAATAAAAAATAAGCATAATTAAATATTTTTAAAAGAAAAAAACTTACAAAGTTTATAAACTTTTGAAAAGAAAGTGTAGCAAATAAATAATATTTTCTCTCATCAAGATTCCAGGCTTGATAAAGCTCAGCTTCACTCTTGCATCTGACCGACTCAGCCACGGAGTGCCAGTAGACTGGAAGAAGAAATTCCCGTTCGGCACTTCTGAAAGTCGCAAGGAGTCAAGGTCGCAGACGGCCAATCGCAGTCCCGCAGCTCCCGGCACGCCGCCGCACGCTCCTACTGCGTGGTAGTCTGGTTCTCACAATCTCGTTTCTCAGCTTGTGCCCTTGTTGGAGTTCTGTCTGAGTGGCTACCTTCAGTAGCTCTGTTAATGGCCCCTGTTCCCAGGGACCAGGTAAGTCACAAACTCATATGGAGTAACTCACAAGTGTTTCTTCTTTGAATTTTTCATGTTAATTTTAGTAGCTAATAGCTTGAAATCATGATTCTTGAGATTGATCTTGAGTGTTTGACTGTTTTACTTACACCAATTTCTTAGAATGTATAATGTGAATTTCTTCTACTTTTGGTGAATAATTTGTGGCATTGTGTGATTTCATTTGTAACATTGGAAGTAGTTTTTGATTTTCAAACAAATTAATATGAATTATCTGATCCAAAATAATACACAGTATTGATCATTTTATTAATTGTTGTCAATTTAACTAGGTATGTCTACCCAACTTACTTCTAAAAAGGAAAGCAGAAACCATACTGCATTGTTTTTTTAAGTCTGCTACAATTATAGAAAACAGACAACTGTCAAATGACTTGATTGAAACTCTAAACATACTCATAATAAAATATAGTCAAATCTAAATGATAGGGCAAAACAACATAAAACCCTTGTCAGTCGGTGTATAATTGTACTAAAGAATATACCAAAACTATAGTAGTAAGAAGTTCCCTCCTGCGTTCAAGTCACAGCCCACTTAAAAGGTAACCTCTTCCTTCTCATTATGAGTTTCTTCTTTTTGTTTTCATATTCTTGTTCTTTCATCTTAGTCATTTCTTATTATCCATGTTTTTCTTTCTTTACTTTCAATGTATGCTCTATTTCTTCTTTCTTTATTTCTATCTTTTCATTTAAAATGCAATATTTATTTCTTATTTTCTATCATTTTCTTCTTATGTTTTATATCTTCCCCTAACAATTTTTTTTTTTATTTAATTCATTGTTTCTTTTTTTAAAAACCTGTGTTCCTTTCGCTCAAGCTTTATTTATTTGTTTATTTATTTATTTATTTATTGATTTGTTTTTTTATTTATTTACTTATTTATTTATTTATTTATTTATACTTCATAGCATATGGATGGTGGAACTTTAAGCGTTGCTAATAGGATAGAATTCCTCTTTTAATGAAGAATGATCCTTGAGCGTTGGGCTAGAGTATAACTGAATTTAAGTTTTATCAAGACTTAAGTTATATTTTCTGAATTGGTTTCCAGTTATTGTGAATCATAACTTTTGTTTCTGTGAGTGACTTTTAATACATTTAGTTCAATATGATGTTGAATACAGTGTATATTATATTTGGTAATTCTAGAATAGTATACATAGTATTTTCTAAATAGTGTGCTTACAATGAGTCATGTGAGCGCTTTTTCGCGCCTTGTGCCTCGCGCCTCAAGCGATATGAGTACTCTCTAGCGCCTCGCGACTTTGACTACCTTGATTTCACCCGTTCAAAAGGAATTTGTTTGTGATGTGGTTGAAATTGAGCGGGATCCGGAAAAACGGGGAAAAACAAGCCATTGGCCGTTAGACAAAAGAGATGAAATCAGACAACCTTATTTGATGTTATAGAAAAAGATATTAAATTAGACGATCTTATTTGATGTTTGGACCTTATCAACCGAAACTCAACTTTTACAAAGCCCGAGCTAAGGAACGGTCATGTTCAGTTAACGTTTTAGTTTGTCTACTACCTCCGGACCCCCATAAACTTCACACTCTTCTTTTTGGGTAGATCCAAAATAAAGATCACACTTCCACTTTTGGCAAGTTTTTAATATAATGTTACCTTTATACCCGTACTTTATTACCTACTTTTATACCCACTTTTTCTCGCCCACTAGGCCACTACATCAAATCTACTTTTGTAGGGATATGATGTGAAGTCAAAAGCAAAAATTCCACTATTAAAAACCGTAAAGTCAAAGTGTGAAGTTTATTTGGGACTGGAGGGAATATATTGTATGTACTTAAAAATATTGTCATGAATTTTCTTCGATTTTATCATTATGTTCCAACTGTTTACTTGTTTAAATTATTCACATAGTGTTTTTATTTTGCAACTGACTCCCTAAACCTCCTTCCGGGCTACGCCCCTGAGAACAAAGAGTTAACTTTTTCTAGGTGGGATATGCTTGGTGTACTATACAGTGCTTAATCTTCAAAAAAAAGATTGGACCAGGTTATTGCCAAATTTAAAAGCAGGCAGTTATAGTTGATAGTGGCTTCAGTTTTTCATCCCTTTTGGTTCTTTTGAACCCCTAACAGTGAATTTATTTCTCTGTATATATTATTTTAAAGTCAAAAGGTTTATCTTTGATGTGTGGAATCTTGTCATTTGTGATTCCAGGTTTCAACTAAAGAAGGTCAGCTCTCAGAAAAAACTGCCTCCTTTGTTGCATAGTAGTCAATGGCTATATATGGCACGCGCCATATGCGCCATCGCCATGAAAAACTGGTCGTCGCCATAGCGCCATATGCACTTTATGCGCCATTCATATATGCGCCATCGCCATGCGCCATGAAAAATGCCTTTGAGCCATGGCGATCGCCGTGCGCCATGACCACTAGAGTTTGTTGTCCTAAAAACAAAAAAAGACTTCTGTGTAATTATTTTTGGTGGTGCACACCAGTCTCTTAAATGTGCCTCAAACTAACTTATGCTAATTTTTTTAAAAGTGAGGCTTTTGTTTTTGATTGGGGAGAACTTTGAGACTGGGGAAAAACCAGTGGCGTTATAATGGTAAGGTGAGGCAAATGTGGGTGTGCCAAAAGTTACAATTGAACTAGCTAATCTTTTGAGTTCAATATGATTTGGCCGAGAGCCCTATAGTGTGTTGAGTACACCAAATCACCGACACAATCCTGAATTCTATTATATATTTGTTTTGTTGGGTGTTACAGTGTGCTGCTGAGAGATTTGACACTTATGATTGGATAAGTCACCTTCCGGATGACATTCTCATTGTGATATTGTCTTCCCTTCCGCTAAAGGAAGCTGGGCGCACGAGTATTCTTTCATCACGTTGGAAGAACTTGTGGAAACAAACCTCGTGCCTCAATTTTGATGCCAGCAGTGCATTGGACATGATTGCTCGAGATCGCAAGCTACGGTGTGAGGAGAGGCGCAAATATGTAAGATGGGTGAACTCTGTCCTGAAATCTGCACCACACAAAGGGGCAATCACCTTAAAACACTTCAGGATCTGTTTTGATGTAGGAAAAGCATTCTCTGGGACCATTACGAAGTGGCTTATGTTTGCTTTTAAGAGACGGGTTGAGAGCTTGGAGTTGAACCTTCTAGAATATGGCGATTATGGATCATGGAAACCATATGTCTTCCCTGAAGACATCTTCTTCCGAAACAGCAGTGACATCCCTTACCAAACTACTCCACTTTTCAACTTCAATTCCCTGAAAGCGCTGTGCTTGAAGAATGTTTTGATCAGTGAAGAAGCTATTGAGCTTTTCTTGCGCAACTGCCCATCACTGGAGCAATTAGATCTTCAAGACATAGATCAATTAATAAATCTTGAAGTTTGTGGTCCATCTCTCCTGTTAAAAAGCCTCTATGCACAGTATTGCTATGATTTGGTATCCATTAAGATATCCGCACCAAACCTTACTTCACTTTCAGTTTTGACACCCAAAGGACTCGTGCTTGAGAATGTTCCAATGCTGGTCAATTTAAATATTAGCTGTAACGAAGCTCACATCCCATTGTTAGTTCCTGCACTATCTTGTTGCTTTGCCCAATTGGAGATTCTTACCCTGCGGCTGCTCGTGTATGAGGTGGCACATCTTCATTACATCTTTTGCTGTGGAAAAATAATTTAATACGAAGTATATATTATTTGTTCCTTACAGTTGATTACCATTTTTCTTGCAGGCATCTGATATTGGGCGGTTCAACTTCCCTGAGATGCCTAAGTTGAAGAAGTTGGTTTTAAGTTATGGCGGAGGGGCCGGAGACCATGATGAAAGTCTTCTCGGGCTAATGACATTCATTAGGATATCTCCCAAGCTAGAAGAGTTTGTGTTAATGGTGGGTGGGTCCGGCTACTTGTGCCTTATCATTTGGCTTTTTGTACAAGTTTTATCCCTTTTCCTATCATCATAGTGTTCTGGTTTTTTGGGTAGTTTTGTATTATTTAAATGATTCTGGAATTTTGTTGATTGCATGTTGTCTTTCTATTTCATCATGTATAGGAGAAACAAACAGGTAGATCAAGTCATTGTTCGTTATTTTTTCATGTGCAGATTTTGTGGGGCGCGAAAATTTCATGGGCTAGCAGAGAAGTGAATAAGGGGGCACCATTTCTACACCAACACCTTAAGGTGTTCCAGTACTCAGGCTATTACGGCCGATGCATTGATCTGGAAGTAGTGATGTTCATTTTGGAAAATTGTGTTGGGCTTCAACAAATCATTATCGATCCATCTGTGCCGTCCATTTTTTTGCATGAGCCGCCAGATCCTAGTGAATTGGAACAGGAAGAAGTTGGCAGAAGTTATGCGAAGCAACACCTGAAACCAATAATCCCTCCTCACATTACATTGGCTATCCGATAGATCCTTTCTTGCTGCTGCTGGTCTACACCACAGGTCACCAGCCATCTGGAGTATATAGCTCTTCTCCCCTTAGCTTTATTTATTTGTTTAAGCATTTATTATTACCCGTTTGGTGGACTAAAGTATTCGTGCGATTGGTGTTAGCTTTGTGTACTTGTTGTAAAGGAAAAGAAGTTTGTGGATATTGAAATAATTGTCCATGATTACCAAAATGATAGGGATCTTCTAAAAGAAAGAAAAATAATAACATTCTTTAAAGGAAAAGAAGTTTGTAAAGGAAAAGAAGTTTGTATATATTGAACATTTGTCCGGATATATAAACACATGTCATCTGGATATTTCATAACACCATTCTAAGATGAAACTAAATACTTTTAATGCTGGTCGGTTTAAATTTCAATATTTGTCCGGACAAAAAAGAAATTAAATCTTTGAAGAAATCTTCTAATCCATTTTTGGTAATCATTTTGGTAAAGGAAAAGAAGTTTGTAAAGGAAAAGAAGTTTGTGGATATTGAATATTTGTCCATGATTACCAAAAGTAGCATGAAACAACAATAGAGATGTTTGAAAATAGCAAACTTATAATAGGCCAATGATTGAATCGAGAAAGTAGTTTACCTCCGCCGGGAGCTATATGTTAGGGTTCATGTGATCGTTCGTAGTTTTTGTATGTGGACTCCTACAATGCATGTTTATGATAATATATTTGATGAAAAAAGTGATTTAAAACCAACGGGCATTGTGAGTAGGTTGGTAAAGATGATAGAGGGTTATCAATTTGTTTTTATTTCCTAGATGAAGAAAGTACTGTGATTGACGAATATGTTGTCACGTTTCTTGCAACAAAAAGATCAAGATATTCTCGAAGTTGTGATATTGCTTAAAAATATGCCAAAGGTAAATTTCAAGATTTGAGGTAAAAGTGGATTAGAAGATTTCTTGAAAGATTTAATTTTTTTGTTAACTAAGAATGAAATTAACATTCTTAACGTGGAAGGTACGAATTACCGTTCTAGATTTGTTCATTATCTAATATCAAATTATCACTACTTTGAAGTTGTTATATTTTGTGAGGTAAATCATCATGATTATCATCATTATTGTACTTCATTTTTAGAAACAATAATTCTGTGGCAAGATGTGTAACTATAAACAAAAATTGTGATAGTTTGTAATATAAAAAAGAACTTGAATTCTAATCCAAAAATAGTAAACGGTGCAAGTATAACTCACTTCTAAATTCATATTACGTTTTTCTTTCAAAAACTGAATATTATTGTTTCAAATTGTCTTAATATATAGATATATTCTCTTGAAACTCACATTGAATAACTTATGTCTGTTTAAAAAGATTTGTCTTCACACTCGGGCTAGATAAAATAGATTAATCTAACACCCTACCCAATCTGTGACCATTCATGAGTGATGTCCTAATTGAGAAAAGTTCTATGTCTGCCACTATTTATGGGCAACTTGCTATTATTAAAATTTAAGTACCTTGAACTTTCAGTAGGTGTGGCATATATAAAAGTTTAGAACTTCAATATGTGTTGGTTAAAATTCACCTCCTTCGGTTAATATGGGAAACCAATACCCTTGATTAATTAGGAGTATTTAGTTTCAATTTAGAATGGTGTTATGAAATATCCAGATGACATGTGTTTATATATCCACATTTTTCACGAAGCATTCACACTCATTTTTCTTCTCTTCTCTTATAACAACTAGTCAATCGACCCGTGTGTTGCACGGATAACGGGCCAAATTAATTTATTTTTTCAAAATAATTAATGTCATGAGCAATGTGTATATATACACTTATCGTATAAAAATTAAAACATGATATAAAATTATGTGAAGTATTAAAGTACATGTATGGTAATTGCTTTCTTACCATATGTATGATAAATGTAAGAAATACACTATTAATGTGAAATTATCAAATAAACATTATTCCTTCTCTAATTTACCTTGTCTAATGAAGATGATAACAATTAGCTAGTATCACATCACAATATAATATTATTTAATGATAATTGTGATGCTTATTCTATACATTATTTTGAACTATCTCTCGGGATACATGATATATGTAATTATTATATGAAAACTCATTTCTCCTTTTTATGAATAGTTAAATGTGCCAAAATTTGAAGTTGGTTGTGTATTTAAAGTTTCATCCAAAAGCTGAAATATTTATTGTATAATATCTCTTTTCAACTACCTCACTATATGAGCTATACAGACTACGATGATTTTTTGGAAGAATATAGACTACGGATATAAAAATAAATATAGGTATTAATCATGGAGTTAAAATTTATCCATATAAGAGATAATAAATATATATTAATAATAACAATGTTTTATATAAGCGTGCCTAGTCATATTACTACTTAATCATGAAGATGTGAACATGTATTTTTTCGTTTTCTTATGTGGATTATATAATATGTTAACTTTAAAAAATATTCAATTCTAAATATTACACTATCAGAGTATCGAACAAATTATTCTAAGAAAATAGATGTTTCAAATATTTTCAGTTTTAAGGCAAAATTTATGGTACCTCCAAGATAACGCACCCGATTAAGACCCGGCAATTAAAAATGATAAACTATCAGGTAGATTAAACATAAATAAACGGTAAATAATGATAGGAACCAACTACATTGTAAATAATACTACCTCCGTCCCTAAATGTTCTTCCAAAATAAAGTGGCACGCTGATTAAGAAAGTGGGAATTGTGTGGTGGAGGGTTGTGCAGAGGAGAGAGAAATGTTGTGAACCACAAATTCTTTGCCAAAAAGGGAAAGTGAATTTCTTTTTGGGACGGACGAGAAGGGAAAGTTGGAAGTTCTTTTAGGGGCGGAGGGAGTACTTGGTACTAAATATTAGAGTACCAAGTACAAACAGGGTGGGGTATAAGGTATCCTAACACATTAGTGGGGTATCATAACATTCACCTGTTTGTACTTTTTTTAAGTGTTAATGTAAAGATTATTGTTTATTGTCTTACCATTAATGTCTCGTTCTAATAAGTTCAATTTATGAATGTTTAACTGCATTTAGTAAAATCATACGGAGTATTTCATTTGTGTGGATCCAATACGTTTGAATTATTTTTTTAAAATTACTCATTTACTAATTGATAAGTATAGCAGGGTTAAATGAATATATTCTTTTTTATTTTACTTAGCAGCAGATTTTCAATAAAATTACCCACGTAAAACTTTGCTAATATTTTTTACTTAACTATCACTTTTTTTTCATTTTTATACATAGTAACAGAATTTCTGGTTAAAGTTATTTTTCTCTACTCTGGCCAAACCTCAATCACATAATTTTATCTTCATATTCCACAGGGACTTAATTCTGGCCAAGTTTTATGTATATAATTGTACTTTCTGCAATGCTCATAGCCAGATTCATCATATTCAAATATAGTGTAGTACTCTATTTTATAGTTGAAAAAACAAAACGGTTATTTTTCTATCGTTATTATGTTATGCTTCTTAATTACTTTTGCATGTCTATGTTTGTCATATTTTTCTAATAATTTTATCTATATCCAGGGGCGGATCCAGGATTGAGAGATGGGGTGGGCTAAGCAGTAAAAAAATGTTACTATACATACAAGTTTTGATCAGGATTGTTATCGAATTGAGTTTTTTTTTTAATTATATACTCAAGTTTGTGCTTGATTTCGAATCTAATTTAATGGCTTGAGCTTAATGAGCTTCGAACTCGAACACGAACTAGATTTTGAGTTTGAATAGTTATTCAGGCCAAGTTCGAACATAGTGATGCTTGGTTTGATCTGGACTCGAGTCTAGTATTCACTCATAAATAGGGGTGGACCGGTTCCGGACCGGGCCCGGTTCGGGACTTGAACCGGCCGGGCCTTGGTTCAAGGTAGGGGAGGCCCGGAACCGGCCCGGGTAACCCCGGGTCCGGTTCGGGCCGAGCCGGGCCCGGTTCGGTTCTATATATATATATATATATATATATATATATATATAGAGAGAGAGAGAGAGAGAGAGAGAGTAGGGATCAAATGAGAATAGAATCTTAGGAGAGAAATAAGAATGCATCTCTACCTTTAATTAAGTTTGATTTAACGGAACGGTCACTGAGATTTAACGATCAAGCTCGTTGCTTATGTTTATGCCCGGACATGGTTAGTGCTTTAGTGACCACTCTTTCCATAATTAGTTATACGTATCTTTTAAAAATCTGGTGACTTCCATTTGTAATTTCTAACAATTAATTTTATTATTGTACTTTGTCCAGACTTGTATAATTTTTAGAGGAGTAAACTTTGAAGCTAGTTAACTTTTTTATTACTATTTATTGATGCACGCCTTAATTTATGTTTTTTTAAAGGACTCCCAAACCATTTTTTTTTGTGTTAACTTTGAATGCATAATTTCTATTTCAAAAATTGACTTTCTTTAATTATCATTGAGACATAATTTGGGGACAAAAATTATGATTAAAGATACGCGTATGAGTATATCTTAATTACTGTATAAAAAGTTTCATTTTTATTCACTATTTTTTTATTTAGGTCACATATTCCAATGTTTCTTTAAATATATTTGGTGTGCACTTTTGGTTTTATGGATGTGCATTGTTAAATATTTGGTTTGAACTTTTAGTTGTATTGTTATTATTTATGTTGTTGAAGGTAAAATAAACTAAATCACACAATATACTTTCAAAAAAATTAAAACATAGAGTGCACAATATTTCAAATTAATAATAAGTGTACAATTTTTTCACAAATGTAGATAAGTGCATAATAATATACTAAAAGTGCATATTTAATTTTGAGTACGTAAGTACACACATCTATAGTTTTGCGTAGTTTTGCAAATGTAAGTGCACTATTAGAATAATAATAAAATAAAAAAAGAGCACAAACATTATTTCTAAAAGTGCTATATATTTATAAATATGTAATTACACATCGATATTTGATAAAAGTGCATAAGTTTTGCAATGTGAGTGCACCACATGAACAATAAAGTTGCACTTTCATTTTGTCATGTCTCAAGAAGAAAAAATACTAATACATAATTGTTAATTTATAACATGCAAAATAAGGATAATATGAGAATATCATCTGATGAAAGAAACGAGAATAATTCTGGAGTGTTGGATTTGGGTGTCGTGCATCATGCAAAACAAAAATGTGCATATAAAAAATTATAAAATGTGTCTTTCAACTGTGCAAAAGTTTAAACGTAAATGTGCACATTTGAATTTTGCATCACTTTAACTATAAATATGCATTTTCGTGCATGATAAAGTGCAACACTTTTGGAGCATTCTCATTTCTCACGTGAAGGAGTATTCTCACTGGAACCGCATCCCAACATGCATATACTGTGATTAAGAACATATGTGTAAATACAAATGATAAATGTGCACAATACTATTTTTAAAAGTCTTCTTTACTTAGAAGTGTATGCTAGTTAATCATAAAAGTGCAGAATCTTTTTATACTAGTGCATATATAATGATACAATTAATGAGAAAATATAAATGACAAAAATACATTATTTTTGTATATGACTACACTCATTTAGATTAATAATGCATTTGCATACTTTGGAATAAATTTTTCATAATGCAATTAAACTATTAGGACTATTAAAATATACCGTGGCATAAA